TTTTATAAAAATAATAAAAACTAGAGAACAGCTAGGTAGGAGGTTATCTATAAGTCTCCATAGAGTTATGAAGAAGCAATTACGAGTGAATTAAATACTTCAACAATGAACAATCCCATTCTGTTCCGTTTAAAAAACAAAAAGGTTTCAGAGATGTATTTACAGATGCATGATGTCAGATTGCTGAAGGATAAAGCCGCCATGATATATGAAAAAATTGATGTGACAAACTGCCTTTTGTCACTGGGTTTTTATGTGACCAACTGCCCTTTGCCTCTGGCTTTTGGAGGAGCCTGATTGCCAGCCTCATGCCTCATGACTATGGCCCTGGGGTGTATGGCCCTTTAAAAACTATATGTGGGCATATTGGGACTTTTAAAAGACTGTTTCTGCCCCTTTGATTCCATGGGAGAATGTACCTCTTCGCCTCCCCCCTTTAATACCTATTCCATTGTTCTCCAGCAGGGCGTTGTCCCAGGGACAGTTTAAACTGACTGCTTTGTCCCTCCTCAATCTCTCATCAGCCCTTGCAAAACTTTAACCCCATGGCAAATTTACTCTGTTCATGGGATCTGAGCGCTGTTCACATATATTGGGCGCTCAGATCCGAGCTATCTGGGGATAGGTTAAATGTGCGTGTTCTGTGTAATATAATAGGAATGATGTATTTTTATGTATTTTACTGTTAGTGTAAAATTGAGATATTTTCTGTACCTGGAGACAATTGAGTTTACTGCAGTTCCTTAAGCCAATTATCTCCAGAATAGATGGGAGGTATTTTACTGTGTATGTGGGAGTGTTATTTTGTTAATTAGTGTTCCCATTGGTTTGTGTCCCTTTTGTCACAGTTTACCACCAGGTCCAGGGGGTGTGCCTCTGGCCTGAAAACTTGCATAAAAGAAAGCCATTTGGTGCTGATTAAACAGATCATCTTGTACCTTCATGAAGTTTCGGCTCATGTTTGGGGGATTGGAGAACTACACTCTGGGAATTGCTATAATCACTTTACTCCTCAGGGTATAATCACTAAGCTCTGCTAAGAGCTTGTTCCTGTTCCTGCTCTCTGGAATTCGGAGAGGTTGACCTACTGGAAGCTTTACCCTGGTCTTGGGTCCAGAGTGGGTGGAGACCCCAACCAATCTGCGGAAGTTTGTGGGGTCTGCAGTGGTTATGGTGTCAGGTGGAGTGCTTGGAGACCTCAGAAAGCAGTAGGAGCATTCGTCAGCGGAAGGTACCCGGTTGGGGTGCCAGTGGTTCTGTTACAATTGATATAGGTTAAAAGTTCTTTATCACTTGTATTTTGAGACTCCATGTTTTTGCTGCTGTCCAGTAGTGATGTCGCGAACCGCCATAGACTTCAATGGGCAGGCGAATTTTAAAACCCACAGGGACTCTTATTGGTTGAAGGGGGGGGGCCATAAAGATAATGAGGGGGGGACCTACTGTCCCCCCCCGGCCCCCACCCCTGAGCGGTGGGTGGGGGCCCTAATAACAATAAGGGGGGACCTATTGTCCCCCCCGCCCCCACCCCTGCGCGGCGGGTGGGGGCCATATTGATAATGAGGGGGGGGGACCTACTGCCCCCCTCGGCCCCCACCCCTGCGCGGCAGGTGGGGGCCATATTGATAATGAGGGGGGGACCTACTGCCCCCCCCGACCCCCACCCCTGCGCGGCGGGTGGGGGCCATATTGATAATGAGGGGGGGCTACTGTCCACCCCCCCTCCGGCCCCCACCCCTGGGCGGCGTGTGGGGGCCATAAAGACTAATGAGGGGGGGGGACCTACTGTCCTCCCCCCCCGGCCCCCACCCCTGGGCGGCGGGTGGGGGCCACAGAGATAATGAGGGGGGGACCTACTGTCCTCCCCCCCCCGGCCCCCACCCCTGGGCGGCGGGTGGGGGCCACAAAGATAATGGGGGGGGGGACCTACTGTCCTCCCCCTCGGCCCCTACCCCTGGGCGGCGGGTGGGGGCCACAAAGATAATGGGGGGGGACCTACTGTCATTCCCCCCCGGCCCCCACACCTGGGTGGCGGGTGGGGGCCACAAAGATAATGAGGGGGGGACCTACTGTCCTCCCCCCCCGGCCCCCACCCCTGGGCGGCGGGTGGGGGCCACAAAGATAATGGGGGGGGACCTACTGTCATCCCCCCATGGCCTCCACCCCTGGGCGGCGGGTGGGGGCCACAAAGATAATGAGGGGGGGGACCTACTGTCCTCCCCCCCCGGCCCCCATCCCTGGGCTGCGGGTGGGGCCCTCCTAAGTAAATCCCCCAAGGTGATTCATAGGGGTCCCTAAGCCCTAGTCACTTCCTCGAGAGTTTACACAGCGTGGTGCACCAAAAGAACTTTCCCCACACTGTGTAAAAATGACACAGAGCACTGTGATTGGATGAAAGAAAGCTTTTGCTTGTACAGCATGGGGAATTAAAGAACTTTCCCACGCTGTGTAAAATTACAAATAGCACTGTAATTGGATGGCTTGAAAGCCATCCAATCACAGTGCTCTGTGTCATTTTACACAGCGTGGGAAAGTTCTTTTGAATTTTCCCACGCTGTGTAAAATGACAAAGAGCACTCTGATTGGCTTAAAACCACCAATCAGAGTGTTCTTAGCCTAATTGCAGGGCGTGGCAAGGCTTTATAAGCCTTCCCCCGCCCTGCAGAGCTCAGTCTGCGCGGAGCCCTCCATGGGTGAAGATGGATTCTTTTTTTGCGCTCGGGTTTTTTCTTTTTCGTCAGGTTTTTTTTTTTGCGCTCGGGATTTTTATTTTATTTTCAATTCGACGGTTTTTTATTTGGCCTTTTTTGGGGCTGAAAAAAGATTTGAGAAAAAAGAAGACGTTGAATGGTAAGTTTACTTTTATTTTACAGGTTAGTTATTTTATTCCCCCCTCACTATTTTTTAGGGTGAGGGGGGTAGGTAGGGACTTTTTATTTGGGGGGGGTGGTGACTAGGGGCTTGGGGACCCCTAGTTACCTTGGGGGGGGGAGGGATTTGCTTAGGGCCCCCACCCGCAGCCCAGGGGTGGGGGCCGGGGGGGGAGGACAGTAGGTCCCCCCCTCATTATCTTTGTGGCCCCCACCCGCCGCCCAGGGGTGGGGGCCGGGGGGAGGACAGTAGGTCCCCCCCCTCGTTATCTTTGTGGCCCCCACCCGCCGCCCAGGGGTCGGGGCCGGGGGGGAGGACAGTAGGTCCCCCCCTCATTATCTTTGTGGCCCCCACCTGCCGCCCAGGGGTGGGGGCCGGGGGGGAGGACAGTAGGTCCCCACCCCTCATTATCAATATGGCCCCCGGAGGACAGTAGGTCCCCCCCTCATTATCTTTATGGCCCCCACCCGCCGCCCAGGGGTGTGGGCCGGGGGGGCAGTAGGTCCCCCCCTCATTATCAATATGGCCCCCACCCGACAATCCCCCCCCTATTAGTATTTAGGGCCCCCACCGGGGGGGGGACCCTTTTTTTTTTTAAACAGTGAGCAGGCTGCTCACTGTTTAATAGACATGCCCCTACTCGCGGTATTGCGAGTAGGGGCACAATTTACTAATATTAATTAATTTTTACATAGTATTAGTAAATTAATAGGGGGCGGACCGAACATCGCATATGTTCGCCATCGGTGGCGAACGTGAACACGCTATGTTCGCCAGGAACTATTCGCCAGTGAACCGTTCGGGACATCACTACTGTCCAGATGGTGGCCTGCAAGCTGCAAGTGGCTCGCCAGGTGCTAATTTGTAGAACAAAGCCACCAGCCATTTTATGTTTTAATGTATTTAGTTTTGTTAGCGGTGGTGGTGGTAATTGTGGAATTGACAGGTCTGCCTTCCTTATCCTTCACTGCCACTGCTCCTTCCTCCCTACACTCGTCAGGACAGAGTGTGGCATGCCTATTGAAATCTACATCCGATCTATTAACAGGTGGTTAACGTGTGCAAAAAAGGAGTAATAACTGGATATGTCATGTTGCTGAATTGCAAGCATCTGCAAAAGTAATGGTGAATCAAGGCAGAACCTGGATAATGGGCTTATTGGGGTAATATAATATTTAAAGGCGAATGGACAGCATAAGGTGGGAGATGGTGATTAGACTTGGGTGAACTGATCATTAAGGAAAATTAAATTTAATGATATGGGGAATTAAATGAGGAGAGACTGACTGTGAAGGTACATTATGGGAAAACCCCACCCCATAAAATCACTGTTTAGTAGATATGCCACCAATGAATTCCATGCATGAATTTTTCATGCATGTATTCATTGGGTGTATATCTTAAAATAAGTTTGAAAAGGTTGTAAACTGTGTTGGGCTAGAGGCGTTGAGTACTTAAAAGGGGTATGTCCGTGACTGCACTGAACATGATGTGGGTCGAGGTAGGGACAGCAAAAGCTCTATCTACGTCACTAGTGTGGAGGGATCGATTATGGACACTGCATTTGTTGTTTTCTCTGTGGGTATGGTAAAGGGAGTGGAGACTAATATAGCTATTACATTGCAAGTGAATTCAAAGTGAATTTAAAATTTGAGGCCAAAGTAGCTGAACTACAAGCATAGCTGACATGGATGGTTGGATTAGTAAAATGAGTCAGGCCTATAAAGTTTCATATGAGGCAGAGCTTTGTTCCTACAGCAGTGTTGATTCATATAATGGGAAGCGTGTCCCTATAGTGCTTACGTATTTAATTTATCTACCTACTGAGGTTTCAACTGCAGCATTAGGGGAATTTCTGCAGTTTTGCTCTGAGGTCTACCACACAGATTTTACATTTTTAAACTGACTGTTTATTTTTCAGTAGTCTGTTTTGTACAACTTTGCAAACTTAGCTTGTATGCAACATTTGTATTCAACATATTCTATTCCAGTAGCTTTAGCTTATTATATACTGCTCCCATGTTATTCATAGTGATTCATACTATAGCTCTCCAATTTAGATCTGACACTTGTATATATATTTATTCTCATCGTCATTTGCTTTGTGGATATGTATAATGGATTCTAATAAAAGCTACGTTTTATACACAATATATTCTTGTCTCCTGGTTCAAAGTCTCTTTCTGTTTATAACCGCTCACTTAGAGGTACCATGCATGATATTTCTTTAGACTTTAGGATCTTTTCCACTATGTATGCCAGGATGGGCAATTTTCATTTATCTGGGAAACGAGCTCCAAGATTCCATTGTTTTAAAAAAAAATTTAAGGTTTTCCAATCAGCTTCTTTAATTACATTTTTAAAATGAACAGGGACAAAGTCCCAATGTAATAACATAAAGGGATAGGAGGTCAAAAACTATCGCAGTCACATGAAAATCTGCACAGTTTGCAAGTATGATATATATATATATATATATATACAGATACAGATACATACAAAGACACATTATTATACGTATACACACACTAACATACATGTAGTTAAGCTTGCAGAAAATGATAAATCACGCTCAGCAACTGTATTTCCTTTTTTTTTTTTTACAATATTGACAGAAAATGCATTGAGTTTAGTTAATCCTGATATTTTTCCAACTAAAGACCAGTTGTTTGTCAAGAAGGTGTCAACAGTAAAGGCAGCCTTCAAAACCAAACAGCTGTGACCGAAGGTTTTGTTTTATATTATTCATCTGTAATTCATCCATTTTCATTCTCTTTTTTTCGAAAAATGAAACAGCTAAATGTTCTCCAGAATAAAGAGAAAATCATGTGTGTGCTTCATCATATCCACAGCTGTCCCGATCCAAGTTATCTTATATCTAAAACAATATATGTTATGCTATTTTAAAGTTTTGTTTAATAAGTTGTGTTTTCTTTAAGTTAAGTTACAATCAAATTTTTTTTTAAATAAAATGAGTAGTAACGGAAACAGATGTTCGTCCTCAATTTTACGTTCACTTAATATTGGCTGAATAATACGTAGCTATGAATATCTGTGATATATATATATATATATATATATATATATATAGCATTCTTTAGTGTAGTTTTCTGTATTTATTTTTCTTTAATACATTATTTGAAATTGGTAGAAAATGTCCATTAGTGAAGAACATTCACTAATATTGAAAAGACAATATCGAATGATTAAACTTAAAACATGTTAAATGTATTTTTAAAATAAGTCTTTAAAGGAACACTCACAGACATGTATTTCAAATTCTACCACTAGAGCGTTATACTATTAGATTTAGCCGCATCCTTAATTAATGGCGCATTCCATTGCCCAAATTTTAAAAAATAAAAAATAAACACTGTTTAGTAGATGCTAAATTTAATAGAATTAATTTTTTTCATTGGGGATATATCTACAACAGCTTGAAAAGCTATAGTTCTATTGCCTGCAGTCTTTGCAAACCCTCCCATTATAACCCTGCTCAGACTTTCTGTGGCTGTCCAATCACAGATTTCCCAATGAAGCTCAATGAGAAGTCTTTGCAAAGCAGGTGCTCTGAGCAATTGCTGCCTCTGAGTTTAGATCCACTGAGTTCATCTCTTACCGCAGTGGAGCTAAACGCAATTCCTCAGAGCACCTGCTTTGCAAAGACTTCTCATTGAGTTGCATTGGGAAGTCTGTGATTGGACAGCCACCAAAAGTCTGGGTTAGGTAAGAAGGGGAGAGCTTGCAAAGGCTGCAGACAAATAAGAGAAATGCATATCCCCAATGCATGTTTTATCTACTAAATAGTGATTTTTATTTATGTTGTATTTAGGAAGTGGGGAGAGCTTGCAAAGGCTGCAGACAAATAAGAGAAATGCATATCCCCAATGCATGTTTTATCTACTAAATAGTGATTTTTATTTATGTTGTATTTAGGAAGTGAAGGAGAGCTTGAAAAGGCAGCAGACAAGAGATCTGCAGATTTTGCAAGCTGATTTTAAATATACCCCAATAAAAAATGCACAATTAAATCCATGCAAGTTTTCATTAAGGGTTTATCTACTAAACAGTGACTTACGTATGCTGTATTGGGCCAGTGGAGGGTCCCTTTAAACATATAACTGAGAAATGCCATATGCAGCATATGTAGTGTCATACATGTGTATGTGTCGTGTCTGGACCTGCAAGAATGAACTAATTTATATTCTTTTATACACTATTCTGAGCTTTTAGTTAGTTATTAGCTTGATCTAAGATTGAGGACATAGCAGTTCCTCTTTACTGTGTATAGCCTGAGCAGTGAAGTACTGCAGTAGATATGATAGAAATGTAAGATTAACTCAAAGTATGTAACATCTTACAGAATGATGATGTGTTGTGTAATATGACAGCAGACAGAACAAGAAGTCAAACCCAAATAAAGGCTAGCATTTCTGATAGGATATAGGGAGATCGGATGGACGAATAGGCCTTAAAGGAACGCTATAGCGTTAGGAATAAAAATATGTATTCCTAACGCTATAGTGCAACTAGGGCCCCGTTCCATGGCAAGTAAATGGTTAATTAACCATTTATCTGTTTACCTCAATCCAGGGCCCAGCTCCCTCGGCACTGGTGACCTCTCCTCTTCCATCAACATCAGCTTCCAAGTGGAGCTGAATGTGCATGCGCTGCCAGAGGCGCACACATTCAAACCCGCCCAAACTAAAGCATTACTCAATGCTTTCCTATGGGGATCTTTTTTGACGCTGGACTCCATGAGGATGCGCAGCATTAAATAAGTGTGATTTACTTTGTGTAAATCGCGGAAGAGGCCTCTAGTGGCTGTCAGGGAGACAGCCACTAGAGGCTGTATTAACCTTCAGTGAAACCTCAGGGTTTAAACTAGGGGGACCTGGCACCCAGACCACTTCATTGAGCTGAAGTGGTCCGGGTGCCTATAGTGGTTCTTTAATCTGCTGTCAAAATCTATCTCTCTCTCTCTCTCTCTCTCTCTAAATCCTCAGCAGAGAAGACAATGAGTGAATGTGTAAAAATAGTTATTATAATAACTTATAAATTGCCCAATCATCTAGAAAAAGTGTTAACATATAGACAGTTTTATATGCAACACTAATTGCCATTTGTTTCACGTAGTAGTTCAGAGATCAGCTTTTTAAAAGCCCGCTGTGACATGATTTTACAACCCATTTAATGCATTATATAAATATTGCTTTAAAACAAATCTGCACTAATTAAAACATTTATAAAGATACTTACCTCTAAATAATGGTTGTTAATCCTTTTAATGGGTACAAAAATCAAGCCTCTACTGGTTGGAACAGACATTCAATAAGAATCAAGGCATTTAGCTTCTTTTTTTATTCAAAAATTGTTTGCCAAGCAATTGCCATGTACTT